ATGTGGGTGGACAGTGGCCAGCGGAGCGCATGGTGCATCCTGCATTGACAAGTGGATGTTTCTCACCTGAGTCAGCCCTGGGGGGCGGCCACGGCAGACAAACCATTTCCAGATTTGGTCTGCGGTGTGTTCCAGTGCTGAAGCGTGGATGTTCCGGGGTAAGCTCTGCATACTTCAGGCTCCTGTTACCTAGGAATGAAATCCCGCAGCAGAACTCATGGCTCCCTGAGGTCACGCAGAGCGAGAATTTGGCTTTGGGCAGCAGCCGAAGATATCCTGTGCAACTGGGCAGCAACTGGGAGCGAGCGGGACTGGCGGTGCCCGTTGGCGGTGTTCGATTGGGGTGGAGCAGGTTTGGCCGCTGTGACAGCCCACTGTGCCGAGGCAGCTCTGCCGCGGTTACCCCCCGGAGACCTGTGCGAACTAAGGAGCGTTCGGGTTTCCACACGCGTCTGGAGCTTCGTTCCGGAGGGGGCTGCGCGCCTACAGCACGGATTACTGCAGGGCGCGCCGCGCGGGGCGACGAGCCGTCCGGCGCGGCCGGGGCACGGTTCCAGCCAAACTCCCGACGGGCGCTGAGACACCTGGGCTGGCGGCGTGCCGCGCCGCGGGCTGGCCGGGGGGCCTGCGGGCGAGGGCAGCGGCGGCACCCGCGCGCTCCCCGGGCCGCTGCCTGGCGCACGGGGGGACCCCACTCGTGAGCGGGAATTCCTCCCCGCTGCCGGCGGGCTGTGTCCTGTGCTGTCACCCCACGGAGCTCCTCTTAACAAACCGCTGGCGTGCGCCACCAGGTCCAGCGGCGTGGGGCCTTTAACTGTGGGAGTATTCTTCCGTAACCGTCCCCATGCCACGCAGTGCTCGGCATCTACTTCCCTCGCACAGGGACGCTGCGAGGATGAATCTCGTCAGGTATATCGGAGGCATCTACTTCCACAGCATCCAGACACCTGATGGGCGTTGATTCTAGTAACGTCTGTCTCATCAGACACCCAGAGGGACAAAATAATTGTAAGGGGATGCTGTTCCTCTTTTAACACTTAATTTCCCTTTGTATTACTTGGGTTAGAGCCTTGTTCCAAACACAGTCCAAACTGCCTTTGAAATCAGGAAAGTGACTGCACCCAAATGCACCACATTCATTCCTTTCTTTTTTTTCCCCTTTCTTCTTAAAGCAAGCAGCCTCTGGGGTGTTTTGCAGTACTACTGATGTTTAACATGAGAAGCTGATGTATGCAATGATTAAGTCACTTTCACAAGGTCATGCAACGAATCATTGGCGACGCCAAGAATAGCACCCCAAGTCTCTTGGCTCTCTAGCCCACCCCAAACACTACAGCCTGCCTTTTCCTGGTGAGCATGATCTGATTCATAATGCAGCAGTTCTGCTGTAAGCCTGGCTACCTCTCTGCGATCTCTCTGCTGCTGCAGAGAAAAGCAGTCAGGCTCAGGCAGCAACAGAGATTGCATGTCTGTAGCAAAAAGTCTAAACCCCAGAAATGGTATTTAGCAGCTTATCTTATCTACAGATAAGCTCATAAAATGTACTGACTGGTTAAAAATAGGTTTTAAAGTTCTTGGCAAACATCTCGAACTTTATATTCTTTGTTTTTTTGCTGCAGTACAGAAATACCATTTCAATGATTCTGATTCATATTGGCTTTTTCTGGTCTTTCTGGAAAAGTACCAAATTATTGATGGGTGGTTTTTGTTTTTAATTGTGCTCTTGAGTGCTAAACCTATTCCTGCTATTTGCTTGCGGTATGTTTAGGCTATGTTTAGGCAAATGCAAATGTAAGTGGTTATTCAGTGCCTTTGGCACTCTGAACAGAATGTACCGAACTCCCGGGGCTTGTTACAAAACCTCAGCCTCCAGCACTAACAAAGCCTGTGCTGTCAATAGCGAAAATGTGAGAACTACCTGCACGCGGCAGAGGGGGTTCGGAGGACCTGGGGAGGTCACGGATCGTGGACTCGTGCCCAGTTTTTGTCCTGTGGGTCGAGTGAGTGAAATAAAGGGGCTCCCGCCTTTGTACCGGCCGCTAAGGTGCTCTGGCGAGGCGGCGGCGCCGTGGGCGCGCTGCCCGTGGCGCTGGGGCCGGGGCTGACATCGGGGGCTGGGGGTCCTTGTGCAGTTACCGATGAAGTTCTGTCCTTGCCGTATCGACACTCAGCTCAATGCCTTCCTGAATCCTAACGGAGGCTTTGCTTCTACGAGCACCCCAGTCTTTGGAAGCGAGGTGTAACAGTGCGGTGCCGCTGCCTGTCCGTTGGCACCAGCTCGGGATTTTTACAGTTGTTTGCCTTGTTAGTCAACCTATTTTAGGCTCTGATGGAATAAGGATGGCATTTGGTCGCAGTACTGGGCACAACTGTTTGGCTTTTATAACCTATGTTTTAAACTGGAGGCCTTTTCCATATATGCTTGTGTCTTCAAATAACTTTAGACTCGTGGCTTTAGGCTTGTGTGCTTTCTCGCAGCCTTTGCCGTTGCCCCTGGTGAGAGAGCTCCCGGCTTTAACTCAGGCCAGTGTTTACCTGGCTGGGAAGGAGCACAGTGCTGGCTGCGGGGCACGTACACTGAACAGAGCCCTTCCTAGCCTCCGTCCTTGGTCTAGTTCTCATTAGGTTGATTTATCTCTGGCTTTTTATTAGTTTTTCTTTATCATCTCCACATGCGTGCCAGTGTCATCTGATCTTGGGTTTGCTGAGCAAGTGGCACACTATGTAAAGACTTTAATATCTAGCGCTACAGGATAAATCTCTCCCATAGTAGAAATGGTCAGCTGCTAATGCTGATTCTGTGTTCATCTACCTCCAGTACGTTGAATGAGTGGCCTCTGTCTACCACATAAAATACTCTTAAAATTGGTGCTCTGTTTTTTACTCACAGGATTGAGACTTCTGAGAGCAGCTTGTCCTGCAAGCTTGGTCCCTCAGATTTTTAGTGGATTAGCTGCATTTATGGTTAGCGGTGAAGGTTATTCTCCTGTCATTAGTTGTAATACTGTGCAGAGCAAGGCAGAAGGCTTGTTTCTTCTTGCAAGTGAATGTAGCCAGGAGATGAACATTTGCCATCTGGGAGGAAAACCAGGACTGGCAGAAACATGAAGTCAGGAGAAAAGAAAAAGGAAGCACTCAGCTGAGAGAGGGCCAGAGTACAGAGAGGAGGAGAGGCAGGTAGTGAGATGTCTGTCGTGGCTGTCTCATCTCCTTGCGTAATAATCTAAGAAACTCAGAAAAGTAAATCACCAAAGCTGCTGCTTTACACTGTCTTTGGGTGGTAAGGAAAACCATGGGACCTCTTAGCTGCTTTATTCCATCCAAGTGTTTTTCAAGGCCCATGTATATAACACATGTTTACTGTGACTTGAAATTAGATTTCTGCCCATATATTCTCCTGCTTTTGTGTTTTAGTGGCCAAGTTTTTATCAAATATCTGCCTTTTGGTTTTATATTTCCAAGTTCCATGTGCATATACCAGCTTTGGTGTAATTGTGAACCACATTTATGCACGCAAATATCTGATACTTGTGACACCCTGGGACCGGGGTTGGAGACCTCACTCTTACCTCTAAAATCAGGATCCCAGTTACGGAACTGCTGGGTTATTGTGCAAGCTGGTGCTTGAGGCATGAAAGAAAATCACATTCTGCATTGAGTAAAATTACAGCTGCTGAAACCTCCGTGCTGTATATAATGTAGCTTAGAAAGAAATCTGGAACAGCTGGTATGTTACAGTAAGCTACAGTTTGTGCTGTTGGGGCCTAAGGGACAGCTTGTTACTGCAAATGCTGTTTCCCCCTGGAAAACCTTTGCTTGCAGTAAAGAGGCAAACTATAGCAGTTTGGCCAAACACAGGTATGTCACACCCCAAAACGCAGGTATGCAGTCACTAAAGACAATGCTGTTTGAGCCAGCTTTTAATAAGAAGCACAAAGAATTTTATCATTTGAAAAAATCTAGCTAATTCGTTGTCTAGATTTAGAGTACAGACAAATGAACCAAAAGCTAATGCAAAAAAAAGCAAGCTCGAGACGTTTGTGGGAAGGGAAATGGCATTCACTGCCGCCTCCTTCTTAGTATTTCCAGTAGCATCCAGGACAGAGTGTGCATCACCCACCCGGGAAGAAATGGAGTATTTCGGTCCTTAACAAAGACTTTTGAAGCTGGAGCATGAACTGCTTGGGTGTGGGGGGACACGAGCAGGTCACTGACTGTGCTCACACCGCCGGGTCTCGCCCGTGGTGACAGGCAGCGGGGCTCGAGGGGCAGATCTGCCCGTGTGGGTCGTGGTGCCGGCAACGCTCCGTCCGTCTGTCCATGCCGGGCCTTCCCCGGGAAGGCGAGGAGCCGGCCCCAGGGCCCGTCGGGTTGCTGCAGACTCCCGAAGCTGGGCACGGGCTGCGGAGAGCTCAGCCGGCTCGGCTCGCTGGGGCTTGGCGCAGCAGAGGGTCCCGGACCACCCGGTGTTTCTTGGCGCCTGCGTGGGCTTTGGGAAGTCGTTTTCTTGCCTTGGGCAGGGGGTACGTCAGTGCGTGGGGCCGTGTGCTGTCCCCTGGGGAGAGGGTGTCCCGGCCAGCTCCCCTGTCTGGAGCCCCCCCGTCTGCCTGGGGTGCGCGCGGGCACCCCCGGGCGCAGCGAGCCGGGGGGCGGCTTGCCCGCTGTGCGGGGCTGGGATCTGCCGCGGGGCCCCACCTCACCAGCAGCTTTTCCTGGGCATGGTCGTGGGGGCGAGCACTGTGGGGACGGCGCAGGACGCCTCGGAGGTGAGACCCTCCTCCTGCCCGTCCACGCTTCCCCGCTCTCTCCCAGGCCTGTCCTGGGCCAAAGTGGAACGTGGCAGGCTGCCTCAGAGCGAGAAGCGGAGGGACTTCGCAGTTCAGAACCATTTAAGACAAGGCTAATGTTGTACCCCACCCTGGTTTTACTAAATCAGATTTTGGGTTTTTTTCCTTACTCTTGCACATACTTCATTGCTATGTCCTTTCTGTTGTTTTCAGGATTACGAACCTTTCTGCAGCAAGATTTGAAACAGCCAGATTCTGACTTAGATCACAGTCCCTAGGATTCGCTTGTGATTTCCGGTAAGTCTTCTTTAATATATTCCTGATTAACATTACAAAATCATAAAGTTTTATTCTGGGTGACTGAAATGCCACGGGAATTTTCTGATGAGGGTACCATTCAAAAAGTTGTTACACTTCAGTGCTCATTGCTTGTAATTTCCAAAACGACTTGTCCTGTAAAAACAGTTTTTCACGAAGCGTGGAATGTGTTTTCCAGCGCTTCCTGGGGGTGTCCCTGATCCAAGCTCTGGTCTAGTGTGAATACATGAGAAGCTGGAAGAGAAACTGATTGCTTTCTGCATCTTGCCTCCGGCTTTCCTCTTGTGCTGAGGGCCATAAAGCAGAAGATTAATTGAAAAATGGTAGCTTGAGGCAGTGCTGTATATGTACTTGTGAGAGTTTGGTTACCCTTCCTGCTTCTTGCCTTTTTACTCTGCTGTTAATAGATTTGGATAGAAGACGGCGGGTTTTGTTTCAGTGAGGCAGGCTGGCTGACAGCTCCTCTTGGTGCTGGCCCCCGGGCAGACAGCCTGTCCCACAGCAGCTGACGGCTGGGTGACCAGCTTGCTTTACTTAGAAGGTTGGTACATCCATAGGCTGTAACACGATAAATGGTGAGCAGCTGAATGCTTTGGAGCATACAAAGAATGGCACAGGGAGGCTGGGTTTTATTGCTTTTTGAGCTCTTTCCATAGAAAGCAAAAGGAATACTGTGGTTTTCCTTATTTGTGTGGTCCTGATGCAGAGTACCGTGAGTTGCAAAGAATGATGGAAGCAGACAATGTTAGTGCTGGTAACAGAAGCTGAAATATTGCCTGTCATGGAAAAGATGAACAGGCCAATTCCACATCACCTTTCTTTTCTGAGACCTGTGAGTACTGTCAGTGTTGCTGCTATTTTAATTTATGAGCCACTGCCCTTTGTGGTATCAACACCATTGCTATGCATGGTCAAGTGTCACCTTCCCAGGAGTGGCATGAAGGGAGCAAGAGGGCACGAGCCCTCCCGGTACTCCCTCTGCCTGTCTCCTGCTCTTCACATTTTGCTGTATCACACACAGCTCGAGCCAAATCGGGGGCAGGAGAGCAGAGACCAAAGGTGGCAGCAGAAGAGGAGGGCATAAAGGCACCAAAGGGAGGGGTAGTGTGCGAGCAGTAGGTAGAGAAGGCAACAACCCTGGTGCCAGGAATCTTTCCGTGGCCGTGGTCGGCACACTGTGCTGAGGGAAGAGCAGGCCTTCAGAAGTATTCCCTGCCGTGCCTGGCTGCAGTAGCCTGTACATCGAGCAAGGAGAAGGAGCCATCCCCAACTCCTCACGGGTGGAGGAACCTGGCCAACCCGCAAGAAATCCATCCTAGATGTGTCCCCTGCAGTCAGTGCTGCAGGAGTCAAACCTGCTCGGGCAGGCTCAGGGGGACGTGAGCAAGAGACTAGTGATACACTCACCTGATGCAGCTCTGAGCTTTCTGAACCACTTGTTCCCAGTCAGACATGATACAAAAGCCCTATTCTACTGATAGATGATGCAGTACCAATATGTGAATTTGCTGTAAGGATGAAATGGTCAGCTAAATCCTGCTTGTGGAGGCCTTACACCTGTGGAAGACGGCAGCTATGTTTGCCGGAAGCACCTAGAAGATGCGGAACTGTCAGACAGTCTTTTGGCTTCTGATCTGAACCGCTCTGAACAGGAAGCGCTGAAACATCAAACAGAAGAACTTGCAGGTTCTTTTTGAGATTATTTTCTCCTGCTACAGTCACAGGCAAAAAGGACCAGATTTGTCTGGAGCATATGCCTACAGTGAAAAGTCCTGGGTGCGTTTGCCATCATTATGGGCAATCAGTATCAGGCTTGACTGAAAAGCAGCTGGTGTGTGTGCACCAGGTGTCTTATGCACAAACTCAGAGAACAAGGTGCTGATAGCTCCTAAGGCTGTTGTTTTCAGAAGTGTTCTAAAAGGGTCAGTTGGACAGAAATCCCCTTCAGTAAATGTGAGACACTTGGGTCTGTTTTCTGTCAAAGGGAGGAGATGGCCCAATTATCCTTTCGGTAGTCATCGCCCAAACTGATGGTGCATCATCTTAAGGTAGCAAATACCCCTTGCAGTGGATGTCAGTGGTTACAGAACCAGATAGCCAAAGGACTTCTTGGAATTTCCTTTCCTTCCCCTTCCTTGGGAGCAGAAGTGCCTCCCCGCCACCCTCAGGCACCAGGAACTGCTCTTCACTAGACGGCCGGGTCCTTAACGTCAAGCAGAGTTGCTCAGCCTCCACTCGCTTTGCCCCTCACTGTCCGGCTTGTTCCGTAGCGAGGCAGCCAAAAGCGTTCTACAGCTCGGTGCTTTGAAAGTCTCCTGAAGTACATGGGCCAGGTAGTTTATGAAGAGAAGCGGCGATTCAGTGCTGAAGCTGGCAGAGCCTCCTTCCTTGTACTTTCTGTTAGAGCTTGCTCCTCTGTGTGTGCGTGCACTCATGCGTATCTCCTCTTCAGCACTTTATCTCCCTCTTCTCTTTAGTGCTTTATCTCACTTCTGCTCTTTAGTGCCCATTATCTCTTGTCAGCTATCTGCATTACAGAGTGTAGGACACTATTTAGAAGGAGTGCTGTGAATCAACCTTGTCTGTCATCTCCAGGAGAGCTAGGCATGTGTGGGTGATGCATGTTTCACGTGAGTGTGCTTCTCCTCCTAGGGCAGTGTAAAACATACATGATCTTGCTGCTGGCTACTATAGCACATCCCATACTTTGGTCTTCCCCTCTCTGCTTCAGTTGCTTTTTGTAGACAACTGAAAGTAAGTAGCCTGGCTGTTGTCTGTCTGCAGTTCCACTGTCCTGATTCGCTTTCCTCTATCATTCATTAACGGGTGAATATCTTATGCAAGCAGTATTGATTAGCTTCATAACCACCTGTCTGTAAATCATTTTCCAACTCTGGTTGTGAGTAATATCTGCATGCTTTGTTCATATTCCACGTAGTGACCCTGGTTCTCCCGTTTCCCAGCAGTGTGGCTCCACTGCACACCAGGAAATGATGCAGAGGTCAGGCTGGAGTGAGCAAGGAAGACTCTGTCCCCAAGTGATTTTATGGTCTTTGTAGATGCCTGAAGTAACCAGAGCAAGTGGCTGGTGCCCGGAATATGCAAATGCAGGTGTGTGACAAATGAAGAAGTCGTTCGTTTTTTGGTGGATTAAGTAATGCAGTCGTACTCAACCAGGCAGTGTGCTAGTGAAGGACCCTCCCGTGTTCCTGTGGCTACAAGAAACTCATCTGCTAAAATGGGAGCCTGGTGCACAGAGCCCAATCTGATTTTTGTCCCCAGTACTGCATTATTGCTTGTGGACTGCTGCCCTCAGCCTGTGGTTGCAAAAGATGAGTAACTGGCAGGAAGGTAGCAAGTATGTGCTACTTAAACATACGTTGGCCAATGGCTGTCTTCCCAGTGCCCAGATGTATGGCTTGCTCCAGGACGCTGGGACCTCCCTCTCTGCTGCGGTAGACACTTCTATTATTAGCTCAGTGGCAGCTTTCCATATGCCAACACTCGTGACTGCAGGACTGTTTAATTTTCACTTCTGTGAAGTATTTAATTTGTCAGCTGTTGGCTTTATTCATTAAAGACCAAACGTCAAAGTCCTTACCTAGATTTTTGCTCTGGTAGGGCTGAAGCATGGATCCTGTCTGAACAGACCATTGTATCTATGCAGAATCAGGGCCAGGATAAGGTCTTAAATCCAGAAAGTTAGTCACTCACTACTAGGCTAATCCGCAGAAACCCCCCATCTTCAGAGAGGAGTGTCTAGTCTCTCTTCTTCTGTTAACTTCTATTCAGAGAAATGAAAGATCAGTTCTGGTAGAAGTACTGCCCGCTTGTGCTCGTGCCTGACTGTGGAGACATGGTGTGCAGTTGCCAGGGCCTGTTTGCAGGTGCTGGCACTTCTCTGGTGGCTGAGGATAGCTGCTGCTGGGAGATAATCACCCAGCAATTCGCTGCTGGGGGCCTCTCTTTAATTATTGAATGCCAGAATAGATGTATATTGAATTACCTTGCTGACAAATATAATCTCCAGCATCTTGTGTAACTCTACAATATTCTCAGTTTTCCTACTTGCATGACGTGAAATCTTCTTCAAAGAATCCCCAAAAAGTCGAAATATGGTTTTATATATTGCTTGTATAGCAGTACATGTTCCCAGAGAATAACAAGTTGTACACTGGCTTTGAAGATAGCCTTCCCTGGCAGTCAGCAGCATGTGATTACTCTTCTTTAAAGCCAAGCCTGCACTTGGATGTGCAGCAGGATGTGCATGGTACATTATCAAACCAACCAACAGGAAAATAACCCAGCCCCCAAAAAAGAGAGGGAGCAGCATGATTTTGCTCTCACATCTCTGAAGTATTTAATTTGTCAGCTGTTGTTGCAGAAGATCTGGCTGATGTGTCTTGAGGAAACTGCAACCTGTAGTTCTGGTCCTGGGGTGCACGACACTAGGAGAACCGCCGGTGTCCGTGTGGGGCCTCACGGGAGTCACTCGCAGTAGCACATGAAGATGGGGGAAGAGAGAAAAATCAAGACACAGATTTGTAATTTTTCCAAGATTGCAGCGATGCAAGTAAATGCCAGTGTTCCCCCTCAGCCCTCCTCCTCTGTCCTGCTGTTACATACACACTGCAGGCATTAGATCTACAAGCAGTGGTTGAGAAATTGGCCACAGATCCCTTGACCTTTAGTTCCTCTAAAATCCTCTGGATATTGTAGTCTTCAGTGCTCACAGACATTATACAATTTTTATATACGTTCTCTCTAAATGTGGCAAGGAAAATTTGTCATGCCTTATTTTGCAAGAGAAATAAAACATGCCTTCTCATTTCCCAAACTGTGCTGAATTCCATGTAATCCTCGTAACAATTTACAGAAGAAAGGAAGAACATTACACAGTGTTTAACGGGAAGGAAAGGCAATACTGTGGTTAATCAAACATTTTTGTCATTTACAAGTTTCAGAGAATTTTGTGCTGCTGAATGATGTCAAGCAGGCAGCCATGGAGCCCCAGAGCCCTCCTTTGTAACCACCCCAGATATGTCACATGCAGCAGCCCTAGCAGGTGCTGACAGAATAATTACAGTGCTCGAATTTGTAATACTGCAGGCATTAATGGACTCCTGAGGCTGGTGAAAGGAGAGCTCCATCTACTGTTGTACAGAGAGAAGACAAAAATAACTAGAATGGTCTTCCCCCACACGCTGAAAAGCGCCTGGATACCGTGTATACTTGGGTTTTTTTTCCTTTCCCCCCCTCTTTTTTTTATTTCTTCCTGTGGCTTTTGGAGCCCTCCACTTCAAATCCAGTTCCCTGCCTTGGGTACTGTGCAGGTACGTAGCTGGGGACAGTCCCTACTCAGCCATCGCTGAACAGGCAAGGCAGACAAAGGATTTGAGAACAGCAGCATGGGAACCGACTGACTTGAACATGCACATGCAGAAGCAGCAGCAAAACCAGAAACTGTCCCTGGTTTCTAATCTGTTCCGCTGACAGGAGTGGGTTTGTTCTCCAGAATGTGTTGAAGGCAGAGATTTTTTGGGGGACTGCAGGCAACGCTTGCTTTAGAGCTGCAGGAGCAGAGAAAAGGTCTAGAGAGCAGAGGATTCTGTGGCTTTTTGCTTGATTTGCCACTGCACTATTTCTGAACTTACTGTATCTTACAGAGCTAGAGAGGTATTTCTCGTGTAAGGATACACGGGCATTTATATGAGAATTGAGCCCTGCACAAAGCGTAGATCCCACTTCGACTAAGCTTGGGGATGCAACAAGGGATGCGAACCTTGAACTAAGGTCTGGATGCAAATTCAGCAAGTAAATTCTGTCCTCAGTACGCTCAGATAAAATCCTACTCTCTGCCCTTTGGATTATGCTTTTAATAGTGGTAGTGCATGTTCAAAACTGAGTATTTTCCACTGACCTTTATCTTTGTAATAGGCTGAATTAAGACCCACTGTTCAAGTACCAATTGTACTGGCCTGAGACATGTTATATATAGTCGTTACTGGCCAGCTTGAATAGCTTCTAAAGGACAATGTGTGCAATTTAGTTCTAGAAAAAAAAAAAAGATTCGGGGGTTTAGAATACTTGTAAAAAGTGCTAATTTTTCTCTGGAAGTGATTTGCTGGTAGCAAAAACACGTTGTTGTTCTGTGCTTGTAGGGAACATCAGAAGGATCTGGATTCTTAGATTTCCACAAAAAGCTTAACTGATAGTTGTTCTGCACTGGTGTCAGGAAGAGTTTGTGCTTATGTTACTTGACTGCGAGAGCTCATCTCAAGTTGTGTGAACAGATGTTTCAAATTTGAGTTCAGCCTGGCAGAAAAGAGACAACAGTCTAGTCCGCAGCATTTTCCATCTTTCATAGTATTACCACAACTTCACATCTCCTAGATATGCTCCCAGATACCACATCTTCTGCAGATATTTACAGTCCCTTTTCTGCCTGGGAAAAAAGAAAAAAAGTAATCAGTAGTGATTTTTAAAAAAAAAAAAACACCCTGTGTTTTTCTTTACCATGAAACTGAAATGCCAACTCCTTGAAAGGAAAAGGGGAGATTCACTTTTATCCAGCCTCGTACTTCTCCCGTGGCGCTGTACTCAGCGAAATGTGTGGGTGGAGGGTGTTGAGTGTCCCAAGAGTCTCAGAGGCCAGGACCTGAGCACTTTATTAATGCTGGCCTTCGCTATAGATACAGAGGTTTTTGCATCTAGGTATGTGTCTCACTGCTTTGGAGTGAGACTTTCCACAGATACAGGGCGCATCACGGACAGCACAAGCCACAGTTGGGCTTTGGGTCAGAGAGGCACAGACGCTGCCCGTGCCAGGCTCTTCTGCTTCTGGGCTGGAAATACAGCTGTGGTCCCTTTCTTCTCGCTGTGCCCCAGTCAGGAGCGCTCAGAGGCCCCGGGGCCCCGCGTGGCATACCCCCAGGAACCAGCCTGCGGGTCGCCCACAGCCGGCGTGCTGCGGCGTGGGGCCCGCGCCTTGGCCAGAGGGACGGGCCCTGCTGCGAAATGCAACTCTGTAAAATACAGCTTTGCAAGTTTTCCTAGCTCTGGTGACTGTGTTGCTAGCGTTGGATTTTCCGGTGTGAAATGACACATAGCAGTCTGAGCACATTGCATACTGTAGTTATACTAATTAACTCTGTACTTGCGTGTCAATAATCTGTAATTTCATAGCTTCACACCGGTTTGCCCAAAGGCCTTTTACTTGTCAGTGTTTTAATGTATGGAGCTGCAACTACCTCTGTAAAACTGTAACAAACAATTAGCCCCTCCATAACCCACTCACAGAAAACTGTGTCTGCTTTCCACATCCTGGTGCGTGTTACACAGCTGAGCAGCCCTTAATGTAGCAACCCGTATGTATGCAGCAAGAGGAGCAACAAAAGAAACGTAAAATCCTTCTCATGACACAGCTGTCAACAATTAAACTGTGTGAGGCTTTGCTAGTAGAGGTTATGAAGAAGCCCATGGAAATCTGAAACAGCTTTCAAAAGAAAGCACTGAAAATATGCGCCAGAAACCAAGGAATAGATTGCAGATGGCAAATATATGTCTCTGCAGACTGTCAGGGAACAATTTGGTTTGGCAAATGGCTGTGATCTACTATGGAGCTGTGCAGAAGATGAACTGTCAGGCTGCAGAGCAGCAGTGTACAAAAATAATTAAGCAAGATTAAGCATGCCTGATGCGGATTTTTATAGGAGAATTCACCCATATATTCAAAGGACAGATCCCATAGACTGCTGGGAGACGGAGGACCCTCCACTCCTGCAAACAGTGCTGTTTAATTTTTATACCGTGCCTGTCGTCTGTAAACCCTCAGGACCTCTTTTAAGAAGGAAGGAGGCACGGTGTTGTTCACCGTTGAGCTGGGGCAGGGCACCGAAACGGTCTGTTAGAGGCTAGAGGGCATTGAGTGGTGGTACTGGAAAGACACGTCAGAGCCTGCCAGCCTTCGGTGTCGTCCCGGCAGGGCTGGGGGAGCTGGAGCCCGTCGTAAGCAGCGAATGACGAGATGAAGCGTTAGGGGCGCGCGGTGCTCGCTGCTGCTGCTCGGGCCCCAGCGCCTGTTCCCCGGGGGCTGCGGGAGCAGCCTGGCC